ATATATATATATATATATATATATATATATATATATACATTTGTAATTTTGAACTTAAACATATATATTTCAATAAGTTGCCAAGGCAACATTTGTCATTTTATTATTATTATTCTTTTTTTATATTTTGAGTATAAGTGTTTAATAATTTTTTTACATTTATTGAACATTATTTAAAGGTGGGGTATGTATTTTTTCAAAAACGCTTTAGAAAACTGAGTTGGGCCGAGTACCAAAACAAACTTGTAGCCAATCAGCAGTAAGGGGCGTGTCTACTCATGATGGGGACGAGAGAGCGCTCAGTGCACTGAATGGACATTAGCCGAGCGACAGAAAGATAGAGATGGCGGATAAAAAAACAAAAGAGGAAAACGTCTGCGGAACAAAAGAAGGCTTACGATAAGGCAAGAAGTAGGACCCGTGTAAATATCGGATCAGGTTTCCAGCGCTGGAGAGAGCTTAAGGAGCGGGAAGGCCTGCGATCGGACGCCGAGGTTGTTTTGTTTCTTCTCGATAGGTGAGTAACACCGTGTCTACACCAGACTCGACAGTTGTCTCGCCGCACCACAACAGTCTTGTCTACACTGGACGCGACAAAGCGACCATTGAAAATCATTTGAAATTTGTGTCAATACGTCATTAGAACGTAAATAGAACGCAGCAGCAGTTTTCAGTCGGGGATTTGTCGTGTCGTGTCGTGTCGTGTCGCATCACGTCGCGCCGCATCCAGTGTAGACAGCATCACTGATTATAATGAGTTCTATAGTATTTTATCGCGCCGCACCGCACTGCTCGCGTCTGGTGTAGACACGGTTTAACATTGGTTTTGCTTTGTTTCACAGAACTAATCGTTGCCTGGGTTGCGTACGTATGTGTGGGGCGGAGCGATCAAAATAGGGGCGAGACCCTTTTGGGGTAGGGGCGTGTTTGTTTTGGTGATTTCAAATATAAACATTGGCTACCAGAAATCACTTACCCCACCTTTAAATAATCGAAAACGATTATTTTAATACTATTTTTAATAGTTTTAGTTAACAATAACACTGATAGCAGTTGTAGCTAGCCCACATTATATGCAAAGTAATATAAATGGAAAGTATAATAAACACAACATGGACTAAAAAAAAAATCAATGGGTACATTACAAGTGATCGATAAACATGAATTAACTGCTGTGATACAGTAAATGTGCCTTTAAGGAACTGTAGTGCTGTTTCCTCATATCAGTGGGTTAGATCATCTTAATCTGAACAGATTCAATCATATCCTAACATCAAAGTTATATAATCTTAATAAATAAATCAGAGAGGAAGCTTTCTTTAGGATTAGCTGCATGAACGTTTAGGCTAAAACAACAAGTCAGAGTTCAAGCTGAAGCTGAAACCATAGGTGAACTGTTTGTTTGAGGAAATCTACTAAAACTAGCTGTTATGAAGAAGAAAGATGAGAATGAGTAAATATAGATGGATAGATATAGTTCACTGTAAGTTCATAAGTAGCCAATCAGATCAGAGAAGGGAATATCTCATAGGGAAGACTGGGAAACGTGTATTACATAATAAGCTGCGTGTTTGTGTGCAGAGAGGCCCAGTTTCTTACGAAAGCCGAGCAGTCAGTCTGTTCTGGTGGACCAGAGTGTGGAGTTCAGATGTGAAGCTCAAGGAGACCCCGTGCCCACCATCCGCTGGAGGAAAGAGGACGGAGATCTTCCCAAGGGAAGGTATGAGTGAGACAGCTTCTGGTTAGTTTATATTAAGAACAATAAAATGGGAGTGGGAAATGGCCAGAAAGAAATCATCTTGTTTGTGTATCATCATCTTCTCAGGCATGAGATCTGGGAGGACCACACGCTCAAACTGAAGAGACTGACCTCAGGAGACGCCGGTACTTACACCTGTCAGGCGGAGAACATGATGGGGAAGACGGAGGCCAGCGCCACCCTCACCGTCCACGGTAAGAACACACAAACACACGCTGTCACTCATCTCACGCTGCTTGACAAACTGCTTCGATCCTGCAGCCACTTAGCTATAATTTGAAGTAACGAATGCCCTCGGTGGGCGGGAGATTGTGTGTGTGCTTTGACCAGCTGTTAGTTTTCAGACAAACGTTTGCTGCTTTGACAGCTTGTCAGGTAGCTTTGTCCGACTGGATGCTGCATCATTTTGAATATTCCTTACCATTT